AATTGGGACACTAATATACTCTTGGTGCAGTTGTGAACTGGTCCAACCACTCTGGAGAATAATTTGGAGCTAATCCCAAAGAGCTATAAAACTGTGCATAACTTTTGACCCAGCAATGTCATTACTAGGTGAATAACCCAAAGAGATCAAAGAAAAGAGAAAAGGACCTATTTGTCCAAAAATATTTATAGCAGCTCTTTTTGTGGTGGCAAAGAATTGGAAATTGAGAGGATGCCCATCAATTGGAGAATGGCTGAACAAGTTGTAGTATGCAATTGTGATGGAGTACTATTGTGCTATAGGAAATGATGAGCAGTATGCTTTCAGAAAAACCTGGGAGATTTATGTGATCTCATGCAAAGCGAAGTGAGTGGCACCAGAAGAACATTGTACACAAAAATAGCAATATTGTAATGATAACTATGAAAGGTTTAGCTACTCTGCTCAGTACAACGATCCATGATAATTCTGAAGGACCCATCATGAAAAATGCTATCCATTTCCAGAAAGAATTGATGAACTCTGAGTGTGGATTGAGACATAGTTTTGTACTTTCTTCATTTTTATTGCTTTTTGTGTGTATGTTTTCTTTTGCCACATGGTTAATATAGAAATATGTTTTTCATGACTTCACCTGTATGATCAATACCACCTTATTCGCCTTCTCAATAGGTGGGAGAGAGGCAGGAAGAAGGAAGAGAATTTAGAACTCGAATTTTTAAAAATTAATGATAAAAAATTTTACATGTAATTGGGAAATTTAATGAAATAAAAATATCTAAACTGTTCTTTTTAACTGAATTTAAATCATTTTGTGCACTCAATAAGCCGGAGAAGGAAGGCAGTAAGCATTTCTTCAGTGTCCACAATGTCCTAGGCACCATGTTGGGTGCTTCAGAAATATTTTATAGGTTATAGCTTTGACTGAGAAGCTTTTGTTTATAGGTTTGTCTCTTGGCATCCTGACTTTGTGTGTCAACTTTCTTGGTGATAATATTTTATATTTATACACCTGTGTATAGTTTGAAATCAGAGGATCTCAAAATTGGAAGGGAGCTGGACGTGATTCCTACCTAGGACATCCACAAGTGGTCATTGACCTTACACTTGAAAACCTCCAGGGAAGGGAATCTCATCGCCTTCTCACAGGGATCGTCCACTTTCAGGCAGGTCCAATTATTAGGGTGATTCTCATAATATCAAACCAAAATCTTCCTCTCCATCTATGCATTTGTCTTTGTTTTGCCTTCTGGGCTAAGCAAAGCAAGTCTAAATCCCTCTTCAACAAGACTCAGATATTTAAAGATAACCAATAGTCCACTTTTCCCTCCACCAAACCCCCATCTCTTTGCATTCACATTGATTCCGTACTTTATGGAGCAGCTGGTGGCACTATGGATAGAGCACCAGGCCAAGAGGCAGGAAGACCTGAATTCAAACCTGCCTGACATTTACTAGCTGCATGACACTATGCGAGTCACTTGACCTCTGTTTGTTTCCTCAACTATAAAATAGGGATAATAATAGCTCCTACCTGGCAGGTTTGTTGTAGGATCAAATAAAATGACATTTATCAAGTACTTAGCCTGGTGTCAATGAAATGCTTATTCCCTTCACTTCCCCTACTGTAATTTAAGGATACATATAAAGACTAGGTCTGTGATCTGATTGGTATGAGAAACTATACTCCCCACTCCCAGTTTTTTCCATGCATTCATATTTATTCTGTATTTAACTATATTAGAGATTGAGATTAGAGACTGGACCTGAAGAGAAATAAAGAGACAGGAAAATGAACATGGTGGTCTTGTATCATGACATCCCTAGCCCAAGTAAATTCTACTTAAAACACCTAGAAAGGATAAATACAGTTCCTCTGCTGTTCTTAAAACAGTTTCTTCCTATAGTGTGTGCCCTGAACTTCAAATCAAGACAGCCTTCGATGAGTAAAACCCTTGGACATCCTCTCTTAGCTTTTTGTCAAGAGCTTGGGCAGGGGCAGCTAGGTGGTGCAGTGGATAGAGCACCGGCCCTGAAGTCAGGAGGATCTGAGTTCAAAAATGGCCTCAGACCAAACACTTGACACTTACTAGCTGTGTGACCCTGGGCAAGTCACTTAACCCCAATTGCCTTAAAAAAAAAAAAGAGCTTGGGCATCTGGGTTTGAGAGCAGTGGCAGGGTTCACTATGATTGGTATCACATGAGGAAGTAGTCAGATCTTTACCTTAATGTTCAAATCTCAATTTCACCCCCAGGGACCCAGCTGATTGGGTCAGAATATAGGACCCTGAAGAGATCCTTGGTTGCTCTAGGTCGGAGTCAGGATGAGAGTATGAGTATAACAAGGAAATGGGTTAGGCTTTGGGAGGTCTGTAAAACACTCAAGATGCGGGGCAGCTAGGTGGCGCAGTGGATAGAGCACCAGTCCTGAAGTCAGGAGGACCTGAGTTCAAATCCGGCTTCAGACCAAACACTTGACACTTACTAGCTATGTGACCCTGGGCAAGTCACTTAACCCCAATTGACTGGAAAAATAACTCAAGATGGAACTGGGGCCAGTGTGAGGGTTTGTGTGCAGTAAAGGTAAAGGTCATATAGAGAGACAAGGTTGAAGGTCATCTAAGTATGACAAGTGAGCCACCAAGCTGTCCTAGAATATTCTGGAACAAAGAGAGAGGTAAGGATGGCACTGTATGATGAGACACCTGTGTGGCTCATCACATGAAAGGGTAGGAGACAGGAGTCACTGTGGGATGGGTACACCTACAAGTATCATTGAAAATGGCAGGAATTGGGCTTTAGGTTAACAGAGCCTGAGCAGATAAAAAGGCAATGTTGTGTGCTGGCATTCATTTTTCAAGCAGATGCCCTCAAAGCTACTAACCTACATAAAAATATTGACATTAACTACATCTTGGTTGGCCTATCACCTCAGCCTCTACGTAGGACAAATTCATAGTCCAATCAGAATCCTGTTCAATCAAGTCACCTCTTACCTATTCTTGGATGGGCAATGTGCTTTCCCACAACATGTAAAGACTCCACTGATGCCATGTGATTTGGTACTTGTCATATATCCAGAATGTGTAGAAAGTTTTAGCATCTGTCCTCTCCAACTGCATCTAAAAAAGAAGCAAGATACATACAAAGAAAAATACCAGCACCAAATATTTATGCTCTGTGACAATTCATTACACAGGTACACTAATTGTTTGTTTTTAATCTGGACCTGTCATTTCATTGGAGCAAGAATTCCTAGTACAGAACATCCCTCCAGTAATGAAGATTGCCAAATGATCTGTGATTTATAGACTCAGAAATTTTCCTTGGGCACAGAGATATTAATTGGCCTGCACAGGGTCACACAGTATGTCCCAGAGATAAGACTTGAGCCTGAGTCAACCTGACTTCAAAGTTGGTCCTCCATGCCCTACCCCATGCCACTTCCTCATCAGAAGTATGTAAAAGAGCCACATTTCAAATAGTTTCTACACATACTTGTGTATGTCTTTCTCCTGATGTTTCAAAATATTCATGATAATATTTAACATTTTTCATAGCATGATAGAGAGTCCACTTTATAGTGGACCCATTATTTTTACATACATCACTTAATTTAAGGCTCACAATAACTCACTAAACTTGGGCAGGGCAGATAAAACATCCCCAATGGACCATTTGAGAAACCTGAAGAGATTAAGTTACTTGCCCAAGGTCAGACAGCTATTACCTGGCAGAGGGCAAGGTAGGTTCAGGACTCATTCCACAAGACAGATGTTGTCTCTCATTACAGTGCAATATGGTGGATGGAGAGCTGATCTCAGAATTGGCAAGACCTCCACCTCTGCCACATACTAACTGTGGAATACTGGAAAAGTCAGTAACAACTTTCTAACACCGTGGAGAGCCATGGCTGAGAAATTACTGGTTTGCATTAGAAGAGGAAATTCCTCCCTTAGAAGTCCATTACTCCAAAGAAATAACAAGCTCAAGTAAACAAGGGGAATGGAAGGGAGAAAGAAATAAGAATTAATAGAATATCTAGTACATGCCAGGCAGTGTCCTAAGTGCTTTATAGATATAATCTCATTTGATCCTCATAACAATCCTGGGAGGTAGGTACTATTATTATTTCCATTTTACAGATGGGGAAACTGAGGCAAAAAAAAAAGTTAAGTGACTTTCCCAGGGTCACACAATTAGTAAGTGTCTGATCCAGATTTGAACTCAGGTCTTCCTGATTCCAGACCCAGAGTTCTATTCACTGTACCACCTAGCTGCTGCTACCACCACCACCACCACCACTACTAATCTCTATCTTACAGGGCTGTTTTAATAATCAGAAATGGTCATGTAAATAAAATGTCTTGCAAACCTTAAATTGCCATATAAAATAATCCATTGTTATCATGTAATCCAAAGTCTAATTCCATAAACACTTGTTAAGCACCAGTATGTTCAAGCAGTTACTATGCTAAGCCCTGAAGATATAAACCCAATGCAGCACAGAGATAACTGTTCCGCTCCTCCACCACCTCTGCCATGGGCAAAGTTCAGATATGTTGTCCATCACAATTGCCCACGTGGGACCATTGCTGAGAGGAACCTCAGCAGTCATCGAGGCCAAGACCCACATCTTACTGATGAGGAATCCAAGTCCCAAAGAAGAAGAATGACTTGATCATGGTCACATAAATGTTAATTGGTACTGATTTTGACTACAAATCCTAAGGTCTTTCCATATGGTTTGCATTTTTCAATTAACACTGAAAATCAAAGTCACTAGGCATTGCAAACTCTATTAGTCCCAAATCAAATCAGGAGTATTCCAGGGCTCCAAATGGCTAATCCCCGCCATGATGGTTCAACAGCACAAGTCTAGCAATGAGCTGACTGTGTGGTCTACGTAAGCAAAGTGAGCTAGAAAGCTAAAGAACTATCAAGCTGTTTCCAATAGAATTCTGGCCATAATAACATATTTTTTTTCTTTAAAAAACAGGCTTTGCCCCAGAATTCCTGATGATCCCTGCCTCAGCTATCCACTTCACGTTGCCACTGAGACCAAGCCACTGCCTCTAACTGAACTGTCCTGAAGTCCCAGACGTTTCTTTATCAATCTGACACTGCGTCACAACTTATCATTCAACCGTTCCCAGCTGCTAACTTTACACACGTTGGACTTAGACCAATCATTCTCCGCACATTTCTCTCTGAATTAAATTGTGTGTGAAAATTATTTTTTGTTGACTTTTGTGGATACCTTCCGCAAACAACAAAAGGGCAGATTTCAACTGGCCACTGCCAAAATGGCCCTACGTCCCATCTGTTGACTGCACATAACTTTCAGACTTTTATTATCCTCAGAAATGGGCAACTCATTTTATGGTGTTAACTAAAAAGCTCCAGTCAGTAAAAAGCAGCTCTCACTGACCTTGGCAACCACTGATGTTGAGCAAAATCTACTCAGTAAAGAAGTTTACTATAGTAAAAGAGGAGGAGGAGGAGACCCCTCCAAATGGTAGCACCAAAATAAAGGTTTGTGTCGGTGAACTCATTGAGGCATCTCATCTTACTGGATGAAAAGATCCCTGAGAGGTTTGTTTTGTGTCTTAAAGAGCAAATAAGATCCAGAATTGTGGTGAAGCATGATTCCTTAAAGGCACTGCTCCCAAGACAAGATTTTGTACAGGAGTCACTCTGCCAAAGGAAGGCAAGTACTTTCTTGCAAATGGTAAAGCTGTAACAGGCTTCACCATTAGGGGCCCTGGGAGAGGTAATGATCTTTTGCCAGAAGAAGAGAATAAAATTGGGGAGGCCTATATGGCTTTTTACAGTTCTACTTACAATTATGCATTAAACAATTTACCCCTTGTTGGTGAGCACCTAAACCATGCTGAGCTGCTGCAGTTGGAGAAATAAGTACATGCTGGTTTTTCTTCTGTTGCATTTTATTTTTATTTTAAAAAAAAACTAACAAACAACAACAACAAATTCTGCTTCACTAAATTTTACCCTTTCCAAGAAGACAGACAGCATAGATGAGCCATTTGTCCAGCTCCGGTAGTAGACACCCACAATAAAAGGCAATGGCTTACACATTCATGCCCAGTCAATGTCCTCTGGGCTGATATTCATAAAATCAAGGCAGCAGATGGCCCACCTAAATTTAATTTGCTATTTGATTTATCCTTGCATTGCCACTTTGTAATGCAGATATTGAATGCTTGTGTACTGCTGTTTGAAAACACAAAACCAGGCTTGGAGCACTTCATCAGCACGTTTGACACCTGGCCATCAATCCTCTTATGCAAAAGGAAGCTCGTCCCCAGATTACATGGCAGGAGCTTGCTTTCCATGGAATCTGAACCGTCGATGGCCAGGCCCATCATGCCGTGGTGTTGGCATTTTAGAAGTTTGGGACTAAGGATTTAATAGCTACAAGCCTGTGAGGGTCGGGTTTCAGGTGGGCATGAGTGAAGATTGGGAAGGGACCGGGAAAAGATGTTTTTCATGCTATTAAAAAACACGAGAAATTTCTTTTAAGAACTCTCAAGGTTCAAAACTAGCATTCTTTATTCCTGACTTGCTCTCTGGTGTTTCATGGGAAAATGATGACATCTGTCTTTTGTTTAATTATTTCTTGTGATGATTTATTCATTGTGGGGCCTGAGCTTCATCATCCCATGCTAATATCTTCGCTGGTGCATTAGTCCATGTAACGGGCCAGTCATGTAGATCTCGTACTTGGAACATGGAAACTTCTGAAGTCCTGCGTTCATGTTTCTGGCAGCTGTTGGAATAATTCCTGCTGTCATCCTGCATAGCCTACTTGCCTCCAAGCCAGATTAGTGTGGGGTAGCAACATGCAGTGCTGCTAAATTAGGTCATTAATTGCAAGAGAAGTTTGAACCTCCTTGCACTGGGGGAAAACAAAACACTGAGGTAAATGGGGAAAAAACACTTGAGAACTCTGGAATCTGACTCAGTGTAGTTGAGGATCCTGGGATTTAGAGTGGAAGGGACCTTGGAGATCATCTAATCCAATCGTTTTATCTTACAGATGAGGAAATCAAGGCCCAGAGAAGTGAAATCATTTCCCCGAAGTCATGTTGGTAACCAAGCTTAGTTCTAAATCCAGTACCTCTGACTCCAAATTCAGTGCTCTTTTCATCCTACCAAGTTAGATGTCATCCTTTGCTGCATAGTTAAACATCTAATTCTCAAAGGCATTATCTGCAATGATCTAATGATTAAGAAGAATGGTGTTTATAATAAGTGACCATCTAAGGTGCTGCATAATTAACAACTGGCTGGAATGCTTGAATCAAGGTATGAGGATGGCATATTTATCAAATTTGCCAAAAGACCCAAAGTTAGTAAGAATAGCTAGCACACTGAACAACAGAACTGGGCTACACAAAGAACTTGCCCAGATAGGACATGGAATTTAATAGGGGTAAATGCAAAATCTTACATTTGGGTTCCAAAATTCAGATTTACAACAAGAAATGGAGGAAATATGATCAGACAGCAATTCATCTGGAGCCTTTAGTAGACAACAAATTCAGAAGGAATTAACAAGGTTACCTGACAGGCTGTAACGCTAATTCAGTTTTAGGCCTAGCATCCAGGAAGAAGGAGATGATAATCCTATTGTAGCCTTGAGTATTGGCTTTGGTTCTGGCTTTAAGTCCACTGAAAAACTGTAAAGTGTCCAAAAGAGGGCAACCAGGCCAATGAAAGCATCCATTCTATATAAGAATTTCTTAAAGGAGCTGGAGATATTTAGCCTGGAGAAGCAAAGACTTGGAGTAAATATGGCAGCTGTCTTTAAGAATCTAAAGGATTGTTCACATAGAAAAGAAATGATATTCGTTCTGCTTGGCTCCAGAGAGGAAATGGAGAGTAATTAGTCGAATTTGACAACTCTTTCTACAAACAAAGTAATCCATGAAGTCCCAAAGAGTTACCTTAGGTCCAGTAAGGTGGAGAAACTTTCCCTCAGTTACATAGCAATTAAATGGCAAAGGAAGGTAATTGGACCCTAGTCTTCATGACTTCTGAGCCCAGCAATGTAGCCACTACTCCTCCTGTATCTCATTTCAAAAGGCGTTAAAAAAAAAAACTTTTATTGAAATGATGGCACAGTGTATAGAGATTTCAGAGTCTAGAGTCAGGAAGACTCATTTTTGTGAGTTCAAATCTGGCCTCAGACATTTACTAGCTGTATGAACCTGGGAAAGGGAAGGGGAGGGAAGAGGAGGGAAGGGGAGGAGAGGGGAGGGGAAGGGAGGGGAGGGGAAGGGAGGGGAGGGGAAGGGAGGGGAGGGGAGGGGAGGGCAAGGGAGGGGAGGGAGAGGAAAAATAAGGAGGGGAGGAAAAGAAGGAAGAAAGGAAGGAAGGGGGGAAGAAGGAGGGGAGAAAGGAAGTGAAAGAAAAATACACATAAGACAAAAATGAAAAAGTAAGCCAGCCTATAAAAAATAACTGAAACCAACTTACAACGTGCATTTAGATTTACTTGGCATGATTCCAACATTGCATTCACTCTTTTTTGTCCTGCTTTGTAAGACCACTGATGTTGTTTCTTTCATGTCTGTTGGGGGACTGTTGCTATAAAGATAAAAAAAGAACCAATTGCCTTTCAGCTAACACATCATTCCCAAGTTAATCAATCACAGCTTGCCTGTTTTAATTATCTTGCAAGTTCCAAGTAGATATACACTTGCAGTTTCCAAATATTTACGTGATTAAAGATGCTTTCCTGGTTTCAATAAGGAACATAAAGTTGTTGAGTCAGAAGTTAAGATTTATGAGAAAGAGTAGTCATATTTATCTCTTGGCTTTCTGAAATAATGTCTCTCAGTCCAGTAACGAACAGCATTCCTAACATTCCCAGAGATATGTAGGCTATCACCACTAATGATGATGAAGATGTTAAAAAGCATACTGAAACCCTTAAATGTGAAAAGAAGTTACCAGCCAAGGATATGTTTCATAGCCTGCCTTCTCGTGCCCACAAAAAGAAGGAAAGCGCATCCAAGTTTGTTAGATATGTTCACCGTGATACAATGTAGGTGCATTATGATGAAATTTAACCAACTTGTTTTGCTGGAGAGGAATGTCAGAATGCTGAGCAATCATTCAAAAGTATCTAGTTTATGCTGGTTCAGGGAAGAAACTGATTGGTTCAATAAAGTAAAATAAAACGGGACTGGGGCGGGCTCAGCTAGATTCTTGCTAAGGTTTCTTGCAGTTCTACATCAATGATCTCAGTTGACCAGACTAGAATACCCAGTTTAGGTGTCATGGTATAAACATGGCCAAAGTCAAATTACTCCGAGAAATGGTTCACCGCTTAGAAACTTATCTCTCCAACTGCATTGAATAGGATATTTTTATTCTGAAAAGGAAAGCAAAAAGGTGATATCCAAGATCTATAGGAATGTGACACAAAAGTAGGACTGAGCCATTTTCCAATAAATAAGTGTGCGAAATACGGACGAATAGTTTTTAAGGGAAGAAATTAGCATTATCAACAACTAAATGAAAAATGCTCCAAATCACTAATAATAAAAAGAATGCAAATTAAAATCTGATGGTTCACCTCTTACACATTGGATTGGTAAAGATGTTAAAAGTTAGAAATAGTTTATATTAGGGAAGTTTTAGATAGATAGGAACATGGTTGGTAGAATTGTGAAATGATTCAGCCATTATGAAAAACAATTTAATTATGTAAAAAAAACCACTAAATAGTTCACTTCTTTATGTGACAATCTCATGACTGGTTATATACTTTAAGAGGGTCAAAGAATGAATTAATGAATGAATGAAAAAGTACTTCTTAAGCACTTGCTATGTATATGTGCATATATTATACATATACGTATATGTATATGTATATATATATATTATATGTATAGGTGTATATATATATGTGTGTGTGTGTATATATATATATATATATATATATATATATATATATATATATATATATATATATATATATATATATCAGATACGGGGCTAGGTTTCCAAATACAAAAATGAGGCAGTTCTGAAGCAGCTTACACTCTAATAATAAAACACAACGCATACATGGGAGGAATGGTCAGTCAAGAGGGATTTGGTCTGAGGAGGCAAGGGGATGATGAGTTGATCCATAGGGCACTCAATTGATATACCCCTTTAAGAAATAATAGTATTATTGATTTAATCACTGTGCTCAGATCAAAAAGTGGAAAGGAGGAAGGAATACATGTATGGAATAGTAGAGCACGTGGCAAGATGGTGAGAAAGGACATTTGGGTGTTACATGAGATGAGGTCTGGCCTAGATACAGAATTCTCAGATTGAAAGGATCACCCTACTATGGCCAGTAGCCTATTTTGAAAATAGATTCACTCTCAGAGCAAAGCAGAAAAAGAAAAGA